ACCATGTTCCCACCTCCAAATTTCACTGTTGGTAAGGTGTTTTTGGGGTGATGTGCAGTGCCATTTGACCTCCAAACATGGTGTGTATTATGTAATTAGTAAAAGATTGATGTGCTGTGTAACAAATTACCTCCACTAAAATAAACATATTACAACCACTGATGGATGTGTTTTAAATATTTTCAGCAAAATATTTGTGAGTATGGAATAATAACAACATTAGCATCCATAAATATTACAATTAGACTCCGTGAAACAAAGTGTCCATCCGTTTGATTATCCAGTGAAAATGTGAATTCCGCCACAAAAACCCCCCCAAAAAAACCCAGCCCCTTACCACATCTATAGACCTCAAATTATAAGAGGTCTAATATGGCACAGGCTGTGTACAATGCGATCCTCAGTCTCCATGAAATAAGTGTCACAATCTCCTCCTCCTTCTATCCTTCACTCAGATGCAAGAAAAGAATTGGGTGACAATAGTGAAGCTCCACAAATGAATATTAAAAGTCAGAATCCTATTTAGAATTTCAAATGTTAGAATCACATGTATTTATCAGAATGCCACTTTGGCTGGCTCCAGCAAGCGTAAATGACGTCAGCATGGACTCCCCGACATACGTTTCGTCTAAACATTGTCGAGGGGGTGTCAGAGAATATCTATGTGTGCATAACAATTGTTATGCAACTAAATGAAAAACAAATTTTTCTCATCTCACTTGTTTAGTTACATCTGTTAACCACTTGCACTCCTGAGGATTTACTCCCCTTCCTGACCAGGCCATTTTTTGCTGTTTCACACACACACAGCTTTCTTTTGAGATTCCTTCACAGTTTATATACAAACAATGATCCACAATTTGGACAATATAACAAATCAAAGCAAAAATATATTATATTAAATCGCATTAATTGAAAATAGCATTTATCATATTAAAACTAATCAAGGAAAATTTTATTCTTTAATCCAATATGAAAATCTAAATAAAATTCATAAAAATTTAATAAAAATACAAAATAAAATAAAAACGAAAAATACAAAAAAAATACAAAATAAAAATGAAAATAAAAACAAAAAAAGAAAATACAAAATAAAAAAAATAAATAAAAATAAATAAAAAATAAAATAAATAAAATATAAAAAAATGACAAATAAAAAAATAATAATAATAATGATGAAAATCTAAATAAAAATGAAAATCAAATAAAATAGTGCTCAAATAAACATAAAATTAAAACACATAAAACATTTTTTTGAAACTATAACACCAGAAACCTATATTGGATGCAAACATTAACCTTCCACTGAGTAGAGTGACTGACACCCACCGAGAATAATAATAATGATCTCAGTCAATCTATTCACCAATTGGACAAGAAACAATTAATGTCAATCTCTGCATTTAAACCTTTGGGGACCAATGTCCCCATATTGTAAATCCACTTAGTTTCATTTTGTGAGATGCCTATCAACATATCCCCTCCTCTCCACGGCGTCTCCACTCTATTCCACAAAATTTTAAGCAGGTTGGATCCCTATTATGACAGACCCTAAAATGATGTGATAAACTGTGATACTTAAATCCTTTTTTGATGTTTCTAATATGCTCTCCCAATCTCACAGATAATTTTCTAGTGGTTCTCCCTATATATTGAAGGTTACAAGAACATTCAAGCAAATAGGTAACATGGTTAGTGTCACATGATATAAACTTCTTAATTTTATAAGCTGAACCAATAGAGCTTGATTTGAAACTATCAAAGTGTTTTTTTTATTTTTATCCCCTTTCAAAAGCCTACATCCTGAACATCGTCCGCATTTGAAAAAACCAACTCTGTCCAAAAAGGTGGCTATTTTCCTCGGTTTATCAGGAACATTCTTTATCCCTTATACAGGGCGGTCTTCTATAGATGAAACTAGGTCCTTTCCGGAAGTAGTTTATTCAAAACATCATCTCTTTTTGGAATTGGCCAGTGCTTTCTTATAATCTTTTCCACTAATTTAAATTGGCGAGAATAACTCGTTATAAAAGCCATATCTCCCATATACCTATCTTTAGACTGTTTGACCAGCAGATCTTCCCTATTCATTCTCTTGACCTGTTCTAGAGCACATTGCAAGGACTGCTCTTTATAACCTTTTTCTCTAAATCTATTCAGTAACATATCAGATTGATTTTGAAATACCTTATTGTCATCACAGTTACGTTTTAACCTAATAAGTTGACCTTTAGGAATGGCCTTAACCATAGCTGTCATCACAGGAATTGGCTTAAGAATGTACCCATTCCTGTCAAACATCTTTAAAGTGGGTCTTCGTAAAAAATCTATTTCCTTGCCTGTACACCGTCAGGTCCAGAAAATCAATGGCTGTTTCACTCACGTGATAGGTAAACGATAAGTTAACATCATTATTCCCCATTTCATTAATAAAGTCAACAAGTCCTTCTCTCTCTCCTTTCCATACAATGATGATGTCATCTATGAACCTTCTATATAATAGCAATTCTTTCTTACTACTTTCAAAAATAGCCTTGCCTTCCCACCTACTCATAATTAAATTAGCTACTGACGGTGCATACCTAGCACCCATAGCTACACCCATAATTTGTTTATAAAACTTCTTAGAGTGCCAGAAAAAATTATGTGTCATAGCCAGATCTAGACATTTTACAATGAATTCTATTTGGTCAAAACCAACTCCTGACTTAATTTCCAATGCCCATTTGACTGCTAATAGGTCATCATGATGTTTTATATTAGTATATAATGAATTTACGTCTACACTGGCCATGACACAATATTCACTTTCATTAATATCTTTGAGTAGGTTGATCAAATCCCCGCTATCTCTTAAGTAAGCGGGAAAGGAAGAAAACCAAGGGTTGCAGAAACTTGTCCAACATATTCTCCCAGTCTAGAGAACAGCGAGTCAATCCCATTTATGATCGGTCTTCCTGGAGGTTTTGCCAGATTTTTATGAATTTTAGGTAATTGGTAAATCACTGGTACTTTAGGAGCCCTAGGCACTAGATATTTTGTCTCCTTACTATTCAATATTCCCAGTTTTTTCTCCTTCTTTCACCAGTTTAATTAATTTTGATCTAAATTTTCTCGTCGGATTATTTTTCAATAATTCATATGTGTTGACATCATCCACCAATCTATTCAACTCTATATAATAATATGATTTATTTAACACCACTACACCACCTCCCTTATCTGCTGATCTAATTACAATATTTTTATTCTTTTCTAACTTCCGAATTCCTTGAATTTAAATCTGTTTAGTTCTTAGCTTGGCAATAGACAAATGCTCCAAATCATGCTCTACCATTTTTTTGAAAATTTCCACACAATAATTATTTGCTATTTTAGGGTTAAAGACCGATTTGTTCCTTAACTTAGTATGCAAATAAGGACCTGTCGTATCCTTTTGCATATTCCTAATGGAGTATAACCTTAGGTTATCACCAACAACCCCCTTCTCTGATCCAACATCATTATTAACAATTTGTTTCTTACTCCAATATTTTTGTAGATTAATCTTTCTAATATATTTCTGTAAATCTATATATGCATCCAATTTATTAAGATCTTTTTCTGGTGCAAATTCTAAACCCAAAGAGAGCACTTTAAATTCTTCAGTTAAAACATAATCACTTAAATTAAAAATTCCTTGATTTAAGTCTACCTTTTTCTTTTTCCCTTGCCCTCCTCTACACCCCCTCCTTCTCCGCCCCAATAAGGGTACTGATCCATCCTGGGTGGTCCCCACCCTCCTCTTCCCTTTCCGGGGTAATAATAAGGTCCCCCTCTCCCTCTCATATGGTAAGAACCTCTTGAACCTCCCCCTCTCCATGGGGGTCCTGCATAACCTCCCCTTGAAAAATTGTCTCTCCCTGTATTATAACTATATCCCCTGGGAGATGCCATCCCCCAATTATTCAAAGGTTCAAAAAACGATTTTTTATAGGTACATTATAACCAGATGTATTATAGTTATTTTTAGGAGATGAATTAGCAATACTGTTAGATGGATTACCCTTCAAATTAGTTGTAGTGAGAGATGTTTTAAGAGATTTTTTTTCTCATCAACCACCTCAACGGAGGAATTTCTTGAGTCACTATTAGCCCCGGTGCCATCCTCTTGCCATTTGTATACATTATTGAATTTAAAATCTTGTATATCCCTACAATACTTTTTAATTTTTTTCTTTTGGGTGTCCTCATCTACCTTATTAATATGATCCTGGACTTGCTTCACTTTCTGTTTAAATTCATTGGATTCACTAAATGGTGATTTTAGGAATCTTAAAAATGTATTAGAAAAGCAAGTAAGGGTCTGGTGGGATATCCTTAATCTTGAAAAATATATTAATTAAAATATATTTGGGTCAAAATGATGGACTGATTGGGAAAGAATTGGATGATGAGTGGTTTTCTTTTTTTAATCATGTGGAAAAAAAATTAATGGAACTCATAGTGCAGAGAAGGAAAAAGAAATTAACCTCCCTAGCGGTCTGATTATGTCTGTATTTCTGTGCTGAAAGCGGTACATTTTTTTGCAGGGAAATATGTTTTTTTTTAATTGTAGGCCTGTAATTTATAGGAATAACTCACTGAAATCTGTCCGAACAAGAGTCTAGTAAACATCCCGGGTATGTTAAAATTTGAAACACGAAATCATAAATTATAATTTAATAAATAATCATAAAAAATAATATAATAATAATAAATTTAATTCAATAATATAATCAAACCAAAAACACTGAAATGTGAAATATAGCGCCAAGTTCGCACATCACTGAGCAAAGTCGCAAAATCGTTTTCAGTGTCTGATGATGAATTTCCCCACGAATCATCACTCAATTCTGCAAGTTCTAAAACCGCTTTTGGCCTAAAGGGACGCTTTTGGATGCCATGGACGTTTCTCAGTTTCCAGGCAGAAAGAACAGACAAAACGCAGGCAGGGCACAGGACAAAGCAGTAGGGACAAAATGTATGTGAAATGGTTTGATACAGTAATGTTATACTATGTGATTTTAGTGTATTTAGTGAATGTCACTTTTTGTCATTTTCAAATTTCCCGCCAGTTCCGTCCCCGTATGTCCCGATGTTCGCAGGGGACGGAACCCAGATGACAGATGCCTGCATCCGCCGGAGTACATTACAGGGGACACTGCAGGAGGGACATCGCGGGAGCGCAGGACAAGGTAAGTGAAGAACAGATGCTGGAGCAGTGCCGCATGGTAAGCCCGAGTGTAGCTCGGAGTTACCGCTTTTGGTACTGAAACCTTACCCCGAGCTACACTCGGGAATACCATCAGGGAGGTTAAGAAGTTTGGAAGAAAGGATTCAAAATTTGAAAGATAAAATGGAACCATTTAGTGAATCCAATGAATTTAAACAGAAAGTGAAGCAAGTTTATATCATATGACACTAACCATGTTACCTATTTTCTTGAATGTTCTTGTAACCTAAATTATCTGTGAGATTGGGAGAGCATATTAGAAACATCAAGGATTTAAGTATCACAGTTTATCACATCATTTTAGGGTCTGTCATAATAGGGATCCAACCTGCTTAAAATTTTGTGGAATAGATAGAGTGGAGACGCCGTGGAGAGGAGGGGATATGTTGATAGGCATCTCACAAAATGAAACTAAGTGGATTTACAATATGGGGACATTGGTCCCCAAAGGTTTAAATGCAGAGATTAACATTAATTGTTTCTTGTCCAATTGGTGAATAGATTGACTGAGATCATTATTATTATTCTCGGTGGGTGTCAGTCACTCTACTCAGTGGAAGGTTAATGTTTGCATCCAATATAGGTTTCTGGTGTTATAGTTTAAAAAAATTTTTTTGTGTTTTAATTTTATGTTTATTTGAGCACTATTTTATTTGATTTTCATTTTTATTTAGATTTTCATTATTATTATTTTTATTTTCATTTGTCATTTTTTTATATTTTATTTTTTATTTATTTTTTATTTTATTTATTTTTAATTTTTTTTATTTTGTATTTTCGTTTTTGTTTTTATTTTCATTTTTATTTTATTTTGTATTTTTTTTGTATTTTTTGTTTTTTATTTTTGTTTTTATTTTTATTTTGTTTTTTATTTTTATAAAATTTTTATGAATTTTATTTAGATTTTCATATTGGATTAAACAATAAAATTTTCCTTGATTAGTTTTAATATGATAAATGCTATTTTCAATTATTGCGATTTAATATATTTTTGCTTTGATTTCTGTTATATTGTCCAAATTGTGGATCATTGTTTGTATATAAACTGTGAAGGAATCTCACATTTGGTTCACAGAGGATGAGGTATGGGGAGTGGGCGGGTACTAGTAGCAGCGATGTGAAGGGTTTATTCACCAGGGGTGACAGTGGGAGGTACATATAGATATTTGCATAGGAGATGGATGTGAGCTCTCCCTGAGCTGTATAAATGTCGGCTGGACACTGAAGGCTGTGTCTTGAGAATGCCCTGTGGGCGGGGCGAAACGCGTTGACGCACTTCCGGTCCGCCGTCATTCTGGTTAACGTCACTTCCAGTGTTTGGAACGCACGCCGGCTTATGCGGTTCAAGCGGCCATCTTGGAGGTGGAAGGCTGTTCATCCTCTGCAGTGACTATAGAAGCGTGAGATCCCTATATCTACATTCTGAAAATTTGTTATCTTGAAACCATTGAGTCTATTAAACAAGGCTTTTAATTTTATTTAAACATTTGAGTGGCCTTATTCTATCTTTATATTTTATATGGAGTGGCAGTATTACACTATGTAGTTTTTTTTTCTCTGCACACCATTGAGGAATCCATGGAGAAATAGAGTGGAGACTAGGGCTATACCATAGCAGGGTAAAGAAGGAGATTTGAGTTCCTTTGGAGGGGTTATAGGATCCCTTATATCCTATAAGGCTCACTACTCACCTCCATCTGGTGAGTGCGGTCAACATTCATTTCTCATGTGGTGGATAGGTGGAAGCACATTTGGAAGATTTTTGATTGATTTTTTTTATTGGTTTTGATGGGAATAAGGACATGTGTATATATAATTTTTTTTTTTTTTTTTTTTTTCACGGACACATTATAAATTTAGTGTTTATTTGTGTTATTTTAATTTTAGATTTTGCGCTGTTTTTGTGTTGTTTAATGTTGAGTCCATGGAACATTTTATTTTTTTTTGCCACAAATTTTTTGAATATGACAATTTTTTTTTTTTTTTTTTACACATAGTTGTCACTTTAATGATATATTGCTCATGCATGCCATAGGTATATGAGGAATAACATCCCAAAACACATTCTTCTACTTCTCCCGAGTATGGGGATATCTCATGTGAGAGCCTTTTTGGCAACCTAGCTACATATAAGCACCCAAAATCCAATGACCACCTCCAGGCTTTCAAAGGGCATATTTCCTCCTATCACTTCCCCACTACCTATCACAGTTTCGGAGGCTCTAAAATGCCAGTATAGTACAAACACCCCTCCAAATGACCCCTTTTTGGAAAGTAGACACCCCAAGTAATTTGATAAGAGGCAGGGTGAGTATTTTACAGATATAATTTTTGTCACAGGGTTTTGAAAAAATTAATTTTCTTCATTTTCCAGAAACATGGCAACAAATTAGATCTGCAAAACAGTTTTTTTGCTAGAAAATTACTTTGAACCCCCAAACATTATATATATATTTTTTAAAGCAGAGGCCCTAGAGTATACAACGGTGGGTGCTGAATTTGTTTTACATCACACAGTATTTGTGCAGTGATTTTTCAAACGCAAATCTTTTGGTAAAAATACACTTTTTTAGACTTTTAATGCACAAAAACACAATATATTGCCCAATTGTTTGATAAAATATAAAGATGATGTTACACTGAGTAAATAGATACCAAACATGACACTGCTTTAAAATCGTGCATGCCCGTGCAATGGTAACAAATTATATACATTTTTATTCTCAATAGGCGACGCTTTAAAAGCCTTTACAGGTCACCAGTTTACATTTACACAAGAGGTCTAGTGCTAGAATTACTACCCAGACAACCCTAGATCATTCAGAGTATGAATCATTAACCACTATATGATATTTTAGGCAGTTTTCTATCCATTTACAAAGGCTTTTGCAAAATCCAAGTATACCACGTCCACCTCCACCCCTCTGTCCAAGGTTTTGCTCACCTCATAAAAAGAAATCAGATTTGTTTGACAACTTCTGTCTTTCATGAATCCAGGCTGTCTGTTGCTTAAAATATTATTTTCCAGCAAGAACTCATCTGTGGTCTTTTATTAAACTCTCCAGTATCTTCCCAACTATAGAAGTTAAACTAACAGGTCTATAATTACTTGGTAAAGATTTTGCCCCCTTTTTAAATATTGGCATCAGATTGGGCTTATGCCAATCCAGTGATACTATGCTACTCATTAAAGAGTCCCTAAAAATGAGAAACAATGTCTTCGAAATGACAGAGCTCAATTCTTTAAGGACCCGTGGGTGTATGCCATCCAGTCCAGGAGTTTTATTCACCTTTATTATGTGGATCATCTGGGGCTGTGTCAATACCATGCCCATTATGGACAAGAGCTTCCCTATGCTCCTTTGTATACACAAAGTTGAATATAAAAATACCCCTATCCACAGAATCTCTTTCTTTGGCACCATCATGGGTAAGACCAAAGAGCTGTTAAAGGTCATCCAGGGACAAGATTGTAGACCTGCACAAGGCTGGAATGGGCTACAAGACCATCAACAAGAGCTTGGTGAGAAGTGAGACAACTGTTATAGTGATTATTTGCAGATTGAAAAAATACAAAATAATCATCAATCTCCCTCTGTCTGGAGCTCCATGTAAGATTTCGCCTCATGGGGTAAGCATGATGATGAGAAAAGTGAGGGATCAGCCCAGACCTACACAGGAGGAGCTTGTGAATGATCTCAAGGCAGTCGGAACCACAGTCATCAAACAAACCATTGGTAGCACAATACACCGCCATGGATTGAAATCCTGCAGCGGCCACAAGGTGTCACCCCCCCCCCCCCCCGTTCCTCAAGAAGGCACATGTACGGGCCCATCTGAATTTTGCCAATGAACATCTAAATGATTCAGAGAAAGATTGGGAAAAAGTGCTGTGGTCAGATGAGACCAAAATTGAGCTCTGTGGTATTAACTTGACTCACCATGTTTGGAGGAAGAAAACTGCTGACTAACTCTAAGTACGCCATCTCTACAGTCAAGTATGGAGGTGGAAACATTATGCTTTGGGGCGGTTTCTCAGGCCGACTTTGCACGGGGGGGGGGGGGGGGTCAATTGACGGAGTCATGTATTGTAAAATCTTGGATGAGAACCTTCTCCCCTCAGCTAGAACACTGAAAATGGGTCTTCCAGCATGACAATGACCAAAACCAGACTGCCAAGGCAATGTGTGTAAACCTAGTAACCAACTACAAGAAACATCTTACCTCAGTACTTGGAGAAACCCTTGTTGGCAAGCACAAAGTCATGTTTTGCTTGGGGATCAGATACTTATTTTACGCACTGAACTGCAACTCAATTTATAACATTTGCAACACGTGAATTTTTTTGGATTTATACAGTTATGTTCAAAATAATAGCAGTCAGACATCACTAACCTGATCAATCACTGTTTTTGGTAGAAATTATATTTCTACATGGCAAATAATTTACTAGCAGGTGTAGTAGAGTAATAGAAATCCAACAGACCCAACAGTCCTGACATGCATGCTGCTGATTCTGTGTAATTGAATCACTAATTGAAAGGGGCATGTTCAAAATAATAGCAGTGTGGAGTTCTATTAGTGAGGTCATTCATTCTTTAAAAAACAGGTGCCAATTAAGTATGGAATGGAAACATTATGCTTTGGAGCTGTTTCTCTGCTATAAAGGTACAGGCGGACTTTGCCGCACCGAGGGGTCAATTGACGGAGCCATGTATTGTAAAATCTTGGATGAGAACCTTCTCCCCTCAGCTAGAACACGGAAAATGGGCCTTCCAGCATGACAATGACCAAAACCAGACCGCCAAGGCAATATGTGCAAACCTTGTAACCAACTACAAGAAACGTCTTACCTCTGTGCTTGCCAACAAGGGTTTCTCCATCAAGTACTAAGTCATGTTTTGCTTGGGGATCAAATACTTATTTTACTCATTGAACTGCAACTCAATTTATAACATTTGTAACACGTGAATTTTTTTGGATTTATATATATATATATATATAGTGCCCCATCATTGGTGTCAGTGGGAGGAATAGTGCCCCATCATAGGTGTCAGTGGGAGGAATAGTGCCCCATCATAGGTGT